AGGTGATTTTAGTGAAACTTCTCACGTGCCAGGCGTGTAGGAGAACTACCATGGCTGATTTGAAAACATGAATGTCCCTCTCTAGAGCCAGTGTTTGGTTTGTCCATTCTAGGCTACTGTAGAAACACAGCGGTGCAACATGGTGATCTATGTTGACAAGAACCTGCTCACTATGTAGATATAAACGGCTGATTCTGAGGTAACCAAAACACAACAACGCTTATTCAGGTGATTGTACACTAAAGAAAACATACTGATTATATTTTATTCCATTTAAATCCAACACACACTGGAGCTTTATGCGGGATTTATACTTTTGTGTTGAATCAACACCGTACCTACTCTGCGTTGACACAGGGCCTACACTGTACCCTGCGCTGTAGCCTGACGTGCACCTCCCCAGAAATGTATCTACATATCGTGGATGACGCAGACTTCCTGTCTGTCTCTATAAGCTGAAACCATTTCCCTCAGTGGAAACAAAACTTTTATTTACTTTAATTTCACAGATTAGAAACAATTAACTGTGAAGACAATAAAGCCTCCACAAAAATAGCATTTTAAGTCTTGTGTGTGATTTATCCTGGCTTCATATGAGCAGAGGAAATCAACACTCCTTCACTAGGCTAATGTAAAATGCCATAGGCTTGTGCTAATACCGTTAGCATGTTGTATTTGTTTGAAAAACGTGTTTAGTATTAACATTACCCTTATTAAATGTAGCTGTTGTTCCTGGCTTCATATGAGTAGAGAGAAGGTCCAATAGCAGCTAGGCTTATTTATACAATGTAAAATGCCATAGGCTTGTGCTAATAACGTTAGCATGTTGTATTTGTGGGGATATTGTGTCCAGATAAAGACAAGTGTTTGTCTGTGAATGCTGCGAGTTATAGTGAAGCTGATTTGTGTACTTGTGTTTGAAACTGTCTCTATTAAGCCATGTTTAATGTGTGTTTAATGTGTGTTTAATGTGTGTTTTAGGTGTGTTTTGAATCAATCAAACTTTACAGCACTTCACAGAAACCCCGCCGCTGACTAGTGCTTTGGAGGTGTAACTGCAGACGACACCGCACAAGTATAAATACTCACAACAGCGTAGGCTATGGCGTAGGGTCTGCATAGAGCCAACACACAAGTATAATCACACTTAAAAGCTAACTAGTTGAGGGAGCGTTTGCTCAGTGCTGTTTGGTCTTCTACATGTGACGCAGGGGTTTCTACCCAGAAGTCACTGTAAACAAACGCTGTGATTGGGTCTATAAAGGTAAAGACACAGTGTAATGATAGGATGATAGCAAACATATATGAACTTCAGAGTGTACAGATCTCCATGACGACATGAAGCAGTCAGTGATAACAGAGAGACAGCTCGGCCGGGGCTTTATCATTGTATAACACCGTATTTAAAAATCCTGACGGTACGATTTTCAATACCGTAAAAAATCCTCTTCTTTCTATTCACCTCGTACTGCAGAGGCTGTAAGGTGGATGTTTTGCATATAGTGCACATCACGTGCCATCAGAGACCAGTCTGGTGCAACAGGCACCTGAGCTGACATGCGTGAGGTGGGGATAATGTTACAGGACTGCCGGCCAGCAACCACAGAGAGAGACTGCAGGGAACAACAACTTGTTTTCACATCTAACTCAGTGAATTAAGGATTTATTTCAACCAGACCAGAGAGAGTGATTGTTGGAATAACTAAGCTTCTAGCAAGACTGAGATTTGACGACTTATATTTTGTTTTTATCCGGTTTGAATGAAGTGCGAGTTAAGCTAACGTTAGTCTTGGTTCTGTCAAAGGGAAAAACATGAGTCAGAAGGTGTGCACTTTTATTTCTCTGTTCAGAAGAATTTTAACCTTCTTGACGTTTAGGAAGTTTGTTTGTTTGTTTATTAGACTGAAAATGACAGGAGAGCTTGTGAAACTAACGAACTCGCCGGTCGGCCGGCGTTGTTGGTGGTGGAGATGCGCTGCACACTTGAACCATAATGTACCATACACCCTGGTGAAATTCTAGGAAGGTAAGAACAAACAGATACCACCTAAACCTAGTGGCAGCCTCAGCTTCCTGTCTGTCTTATCAGATTAAAACACTTCCTCTGCACTCACTTCTCTTTAACTCTGTGTCAGCCTGCACAACTTATTTAGAAGAAGATGATGTACTTCATCGATGCCCTAAGGCAAACTCATTTTTCACTCCGTTCCGTCAGCTCCCTCACTCCGTCAGAGTGAAGGAGCTGCCCATGGACAGGTGCCCCATTCAGACAGATGAGGCTAATCACAAAACAGGCACGAGAGTCCAGTGAGACAGAGTCTGGGCTTTTCTAAAAACAGCTGGAGCGGCTGGAACCTTTCTGCCCACCAGCGTGCCTCTCGTTATTGTTTCGTATTTGGTCAAAGCTGTTCTGAGGTACACATGAAGCTACTTAGAGGACTGGGCGGTAGGGGTAGATTTTAAAAACTACTGTGCACTCACAGAGCATCATTTCCTCTGTTAGAGACACACTGGGTGCAGAGGAGCTGTTTCATCTGTGCTTCTGTTTCCCACTAAGTACTTTAAGACAGCGAGGTTTCTATTTTGGCTTTTGGTTTTGTTAGGTAAGGTTAGCTGCTGTTACTTAAAGAGTTCTCTCGTTTCTCGGTTATATTTCTTTCTTTGAGTTGCACAGCACACACAGGCCTTTTTCCCCTTTTCATTTCGCCTAAAATTTTTGTTTGTTTTGCTTGATGTTGCTTCCCTTTACGAGCCGGATCTCAACAGGAAGATGAATTCTCATTAGTAACTGCTCAGTAGGAATATCGTCTGTTTCAGAATAAAAGTCAGCTAACATCGGAACATTCTGTTCATGTAAACACAATGTGTGTTCGCAGTGTATCACACACACGGCGGAGCTGAGACTCACCTGACCCACAAACCACGAAGACAAACAGAGCGAGCAGCCACGGTCCCACCGGAGACTTCTCCTCATTTACAGGCCGCTGGAACACACACACAACACTTATTAACTAATAATCACTTGTTGCAGCTGTAATTAGGTCTGTTATTACTGATTTATTACGACAGAACAGCTTGTACCTCGAGTCTGTGGCTGCATGAAGACAGGACTGAGCATTCTGGGTAAATACAGACTCCCTCTGACTACTAACCACAGCTGACAGAGATACTTCAACACATTTAGAGTGTGTGTAAATCAAAAGGTGTGTTAGTGACAATAAATTACACATGTGCTGATGAAATGTGACAGAGGTGTGTGTGAAAACATCCCGAGGTGTGTGACTGGTGAACGTCAGCAGGTCGGTGCCACGCTTAAATATCCCCTTAAATATCATCCAAATAATGACACACTACATCAGCATGATGAGTTTTTAAGTGAGAAAAAGAAACTAAATCACCTCTTTGACTAAAATCAGAGAATACTCAGCCAACAATTAGACTTAGTTGTAATAGTGTTATAGTGCTGTCTTGAACTGTGTGTGTGTGTGTGTGTTTGGCCTACTATAAACACACTCCTGTCAGAGGATGGTTTCCGTGTTCACACACTTATGTTACAGCTATCCAAAACTCCTTTTACAAAACTGCATATTTAATGCCCCACTCTGTTTGTCACAGTAAACATTAAATAATGAACATTGCGCGGCATGTATTCAACACCTCTAAAGCTCTTCTTAAATTCGTCATATGTATTATTCTCATATCGTAATTAATCAAACACTCTTTTAGTCTTTTGTGACTGATTTGTACCATCGCGGCGCCTCCGCCCACTGCAGTGTTTACACCGAGAGGAAGTTACTTGAGTTACAAAACATCAACAAACAAACCACGAACAGTAAATTTGTGTATGCCGAATTGAATACTGTCTGTAAGGCAGTCGAGCAAATGCCTTCAATAATATATATATGGCGTATAGCTCTGTGGACACGCAAAACCGAATTAATGTCCCACATTTACTTAAGGGGTCTGGCTCTATTACACTTCATTCAATTGTTAGCCAGTCAGCAGGTTCCACAGAGCAACATCTGGCTATTTGCCGTTCATATATAAACCATGATAATATTTTACGACAAAATCTGACATATTACTTAATTAGAAGCGATATTAGCTTGATAATGTGCTGAGAAAAGAAGCGGCTCACTTGTAGAGCAGCTAATGCTAATGTTAGCTCCACCAATGCTAACTGCTAGCTGCTACTCTGCTTCCAGCATTTGTTTTTAACCCACAGAGCTGAATTATATCAGAATATTGTTCACATTAAACAGCCTGTGTTTAACTCATCAGGTCGAGCTGCAGCTGTACGGTAGAGACAGAATCTGTTAGCCGTTAGCCTGGCTGTCAGTACCGATGTTTTCTGGACGTGTCCCCGCTGTGTGATCGTCTTGCTGTGCCGCTCGTTCGCCACTTTCATCCGCTGCACCGCCGACATGTTTCAGGATTCACGACCGGGTCTGGACCAGGAGGACGGAGAGCCGGGGACAGCCGGGAGGAGAGGACAGGGTGAGGTGCGCCGGTATCAGTCACAAAGAGTCCCGCTGGAGAGGAGCCTCTGCCGGGGTTTGTTTCCGTGTTGTTAGGCAGCTAGCGACCGAATGAAATGCTAACTGTTAGCTAGCTGCTAGCCTATCAAGCTAACCGTGAAGCGACTCACCTCGTCACGTGACACGGGACAGTCAGCCCTCTAGTGGCGGGAAGAGAAAATGTTTTTATGTCATAAAAAATAAATAATAAGTACTATTAGCGCACTGTTGTCAAACCACACAGAAGGAAAGGTACATATAAATAACTGTAAAAAAAAATACTTAATACTTAAATACTTAAAGTAAAAGTCCTATATTAAAAATTGCTACGTAAAATTACTAATACTACCTTGTAAAAATACTTTGTTACACTACATGCTTTAAAAGAGTTACTATAGTAAAAGTAGACAGTTTGTAGATCTGCAGAAACTTTAACGTGACATCATTTAATTAACGAGAAACAATAAATCAACGTGAGCCGAGTGGAGTTTCTTTTTAGTTTTATTACATCCTGCAGTCAGACTGCACTTTGTCCACACACACACACACACACACACACACTCACAGTGTTCTGCCGGCTGTGTTGGAGCCAGGGGTCAGAGATCATCAGTAGAATTCTACCTGTGTCTTCGTTACAATGAACAGGTGTATTCAGTCCTTAGTTAGTATAAATCCAACATGGAGTCTCTGAGAGACGCACCAGGAGCTACTGGAGGTCAGAGGTCATGAGGGGTCAGCTCAGGGTCGCCTACCATGGCAACATCATAGAGCTACAGTGGTAGAATGTACCACTAACTCATCAGTCTGGAGGACGGGGGGGCTACAGACAACCTAGCAGCCCAGCCCGCTGATGGAGCCAATGCGATCCATCTTCATCCCGAAGCATCCTCTCCCTCCCATCATCGACTTCCTGCTCCGTCGTCTCATCTTGGACTGTCGCTGGAGGAAGTCGAGGAAGAACCGCGGGACCGCCTCACGCCCACCGCCCAGTCCCCTCACAGCAGCGCCATGACGATTCACAGCCAGTCCCCTGGAGGGGGCAGGGCGTCCGCCTGAGCCCTCTGTGACATCATCGGAGGCGAGAGGGGCCGTGATGAGAGAAGAGAGGTGAGAGCCGAACAGAGAGTGCAAGACCTGAGGAGAGAGTTTAAAATGTCAATGAATCAATACGATCAATGATTTTAGTGGCAGTAGGTGTTCAGCAGCTACACGGAGGTTCAACTGGTTATGACTCAGTTTAACACTGATGTGTCTGTATGAAGCACCTGAGGCAGCCGACCTGAGGTCAAAATGCACCTGAGGCAGCCGACCTGAGGTCAAAATGCACCTGAGGCAGCCGACCTGAGGTCAAAATGCACCTGAGGCAGCCGACCTGCAGACAGTGAGTGTCCTCAGTAGAGGGGGGGCAGAGAGCAGGATGAATGACTGATACTGATGCCTGTTCTTCATGCTTAGATGAAGTTACTTTCTTCACTCAGTGTTGTGATGTCAGGAGGAATATTTATTTCATTGACATGTTAGATCTGTTTCCACTGAGACATGATTGAGTTTATATAGTGACTTATAGTGACTGTTGCTGCCACAGACTGTGTAAAACTATATCCTGAGAATCTGACCTATAAGCAAAACGTCAGCATCCAGCAGTGATGGTATTGTTGGCCATCAGAATCAGGCCAGTTTATTTGGCTCAGTTCTGAGGCAACATTTGGCCCAAGTCTCAGTTCGTCTCAGCGACCTGGGTTGGTTTCATAATCATACGAAAAAATAAGAATAAAATGAATTAATGACAGAGAGCTATGAGACAGGACGCTGGTTACAGACACACAGAGCCACTGGTGGCATTATCAGTTTCATCTGATGATGATGATGATGATGGTAACGATGATGATGATGATGTCAATGACGATGATGATGATCATGGTAACGATGATGATGATGATGATGATGTCAATGACGATGATGATGATCATGGTAACGATGATGATGATGATGATGATGTCAATGACGATGATGATGATGACAAGGATGATGATGATGACGACGACAATGACGATGACAATGACGACAACAATGATGACGACGATGATGATGATGATGACAACGATGATGATGATGATGATGATGACAACGATGATGATGATGATGATGATGATGACAGCGATGATGATGATGACAGCGATGATGATGATGACAAGGATGATGATGGTGATGACAACGATGATGATGATGACGACGACAATGACGATGATGATGACAATGACAACGATGATGATGATGATGATGATGACAGCGATGATGATGATGACAACGATGATGATGATGACGACAATGACGATGATGATGACAGTGACAACGATGATGATGATGATGACGACAATGATGATGATGATGATGATGACAATGACGATGATGATGATGATGATGACAATGTCGACGACGATGATGATGATAACGATGATGATGATGACGACAATAACAATGATGATGACGACAATGATGACGATTATGATGACTATGATGATGATGACAATGATGATGATGATGACGATTATGATGATGACAATGATGATGACGATGATGATGATGAAAATGATGATGATGATGACAATGATGATGACAACGATGACGACAGCGATGACGATGATGACGATGACAACGATGACGTTCTCTACAGACCTGCTTCTCATCTCGGTGAGGTGAAGGTCTGGACTCCACGGCGACGGCGAGAAAGAGGAGGAGGAGAGCAACCAGAGAGGATGAAGAGGGGGAGGAAGATGAAGCAGCCATCTTTGTTTGGAGGCAAAAACATTAAAAATTAGATCCAATAAATGCCCTGTCACCATGACAACAGATAATCCTGTTTCCTGATTGGCTGAAGGGTGTTCTGATGTAATGTGCGGTGTTGTGACAGGCTGCAGCTCCTCCTGCTGGTCGGAGGAGTCAGCGCACAGTCTGAACTGAGATCAGTGTAATGAAAAGACGGACAGAAAGAGACAACACAAACAACTGCAGCTTACAAACAACACAAATAATAAATAAATGAATAAATAAACATGATCCAGGAGATTTAATACAGCAGAGGTCCAGGCTCACTGTGTGACATGTTCCCTCAATTAATTAGCATTTAATGAACTTAGAACTGAGTCGGGGAACTCATGAACACATCAGTGGATTCATGTTGAGTAATGACACATCATCATCGTCATCACTGTGGGAAGAAGAAGAAGAAGCAGCTGAACATGAAATGAAGTGTAAACAGACTTCAGGCTGTTTGTGGTGAAAAGTACATTCACTCAGCGACTGTACATAACCTCCTGTGACCCTGCGTCCTCATAGGACGACATCACAGTTTGGGTTTCTGCTGGGACTTGAGTATCGTCTCATTTGAGGACACCGGGACAGACAGAAGGACATTCCAAGCTTGGAGTAAGGAGCAAGAAAAAATTCATACAGAGCTACTAAACAAACAAATGAAAAGTCTTGTTTTAGCTTTGTCGTGTTCAGTCATCAAAATTAGCAGTTTTATACTTTATTAAAATTTCGACATATATATCGTACTATATAATGACCAAAACTGCACGTTTTTCTCCTCACTGACTTGGTCAATCCATGTGAAAGTTGGCACAGTGGTAGAGGGTCATGGGAGGATGTCAATGAAGCAATATTACATCAATTGGCCAAAGGGGGGCGCTATAGCAACCCATTGAAATGTCAAACTTTGAATGGGCATATCTCATGCCCCGTATGTCGTAGAGACATGAAACTTTGCACAGAGATGCCTCTCCTCATGAGGAACACATTTGCCTCAAGAACCCATAACTTCCGCTTATATAGATTTTCCGCCATTTTGAATTTTTTGAAAAACACTTCAAATGGATCTCTTCCTAGGAAGTTTGAGCGATCTGCATGAAACTGGGTGAACATAATCTAGGGACCAATATCTAAAGTTCCCTCTTGGCAAAAGTTGGAAAACTTACTAAAACTGAGCTTCTATAAGGCAATGAATATTGCGGAGGGCGTGGCTCATCACATAAAGGTGTATAACATCTCAAGGGTTTCACCCATCACCACGCAACTTTGTAGGCATATGACCACACATAATCTGAGGGGACCCCTCCATTATTGACCCCATCAAACAAAATGGGGGCGCTAGAGAGCTCATTTCTTATCTAGGCCTAACCGCCATATGGATTTTTACTAAACTTGGTAGATATGTAGAACAGGACGCCTCAAGGTGACTGGAGAAATTTAACTCTAATTGGCAACTGGGTGGCGCTATAACAACAGAAAAATGCTTCAAAATGGCTAAAATGCGACCGATCGCTGTGGCTCCCCCTGTGGACCAATGTTGGTGTTTTCTAATGTTTGGTATGACTAAGTCATGGTATGGTATGCTGTACATAATCATGGAAACTGTCAGTGTGTCATTCTGTCAGTCAGTCATTCTGTCTGTCCCACGTTTTTCTACTCACTGACGTGGTCAATCTATGTGAAACTGCACATAGGCACTGAGGACTGATCCTCAATGCCTATGTGCATTCTCTGTATTCAGTATTCATTCACTGAAGCTCTCTCTGAATACATTGCTCTTCTTAATGGGTTCAGTTGACTATTTAATCTGCAGTTTCCTATGACCTGTATCCCAAACACACACCATGTGAAACTGTACGTGGGCAACTGTGCACTCAGTGGGTATGGACTAGTATATATATATATATATACACATATATATAAGTACCTCATCATTATATTTAACTTCTTGAGGCGTCTGCTTTTGTTCCCCCCAGATATTTAAGAATATTAGGACCCGATAAGTATAAAGAACTAAGCACTACTTATCGGGTCCAGTAATCTTAAATATCTGGGGAGGAATTAAAAATACATACCAAACAAAAGCAGACGTCTCGAGAAGTTAAGTATAATGATGAGGTACTTGTACTCTGAATACTCTTATCTCATGTTACTTTACAGTACGTCTGCTGTACTACATTATAGATGGAAATATTGTATCAGGTTTAAATGGAATACATTTAAAGAGATCAAATTAATTTTTTTTAGATTTTGACTGTAATTAATATTAATTAGACTTTTTAGAAAAAATAATTAAAATCATATTATATTAGATCTTTCAAAACAGGATTATTTTATGTTATATTTATTATTATTTTTTCAATTATTTAATTAGACTGGATGAGATCAAATCAAATTTTATTAGATTAGATTTTAATTGTAATTAAATTTAATTACACTTTTCAGTAAAAATAAAATTGTTAAAATTATATAAGATTAGATCGTTTTCTATATATATTTTTCAATAATTGTATCAGACTAGATGAGATCAAATCAGATTTGAAATATGAAACTTTATTGGTCTGTGTAATTTTTCCAGCAGCAGCTGAAGGATTAAACATTTTACCACATGTGAAGAACAAACAGAATATTAATCCTACAGAATATTAAAGCAGCAGAACTTACTGACACAGAAGAGAAATATTCCAACAACAACAAAACTGCAGAAGATCCTGCTGGTCGTCCAAATAATGTCCTCCAATAAAAGTATTGATTATTGGTCTCAGCTGATGTCTGTCCTGTCTCAGTGTCAGGACGGGTCTCTGGTCTACATGCAGACGACACACGCAGGATTATATACGACTCAGCGCTGTGATGTCACACATTCTTACTGCTGTTACCCCCGACAACGGGTCACACACACACACACACACACACACACAAAGTGCAGTGAATGGGACAAAGACAGATGAGCTGTGTGTGTGAAAACTTTGAAACATGGACGAAGACAGAGACAAAAATATCGACCAATCAGACGCAATGCTTCATGAAAAAAACACCTGTGAAAGAATTCATTCACAAACATCACTGTCAATCAGGAGGTCCTGGAGTCCAGGAGGAGGTCCTGGAGACCAGGAAGATGTGCCAGAGGTCAATGGAAAGGCTCAAAGGGTCCTTGAAGAGGCTCCAGGATACCTTGAGAGGATTCTACAGTCTTTCAGAAGGTATCAAAGATACTGGAAGAAGCCAAAACAGTCCTTGAAGATGACCCTGGGGTCCTTGAGGGAGTCCCTGAGAAAATATAAGAAGTAACTAAGGGGGCTTTAGTGGTTGTTATGGATGCTCCAGTCCTGGAAGATGATCCTGGAGTCCTTCAGGGGTACCAGACATAAAGCTTCATGAAAAAAAACACACCTGTGAAAGATTTCATTCACAAATATCACTTTTTAATCAGGAGGTCCTGGAGTCCAGGCCGAGGTCCTGGAGTACGGGAGTAGGTGCCAGAGGTCAATGAGGAGGCTCAAAGGGTCCTTGAAGAGGCTCCAGGATACAATAAGAGAGTTCTACAGTCCTTGAAATAGTACCAAAGGCACTAAAAATGTCCTTGAAAATGTTCCTGGGATCCTTGAGGGGGTTTAAAAGTACATCAGAAAGTACAAGGAGTAACTGAGAAAGCTGTAGAGGTTGTTAAGGGTGCTGCAGTTCTGGAAGATGATCCTGAAGTCCTTCAGGGGTCCCATAGGTCCACAGAGAGGCTTAAATGGCCCTTGAAAGGGTTCTACGTTACCTTCAGAGGGTTCTTTAGTCCTTGAGAAAGTATCAGAGGTGCTTCAGGAAGATAAACTGGTCCCTGAAGATGTTCCTGGTGTCCCAAGGGTGTCCAGTCATTATAGGGGATCCTGGAATCATTAATTAGGTTTCAGGGATTATTGAAGCAGTTCATAGAGTCCTTGAGGAGTATTTAAGGTCTTTGAAGAGATTCGTTGGGGCTCTGCAGAGGCACAGGAAGTCACTGAGGAGGCTAAGATGGTCCTTGAGGAGGTTCAAGCAGCCCTGGAAAGTGTTCTTGAGGGGCTTCAGAGGTCCTTGAATTTATTTTTGTCTCTTGAGAGACCAGGTGCTGGAATCCTTGAGGGATTATAATGTCCTGAGAAGAAACCACAAGTCCATAAATGCTCCTTGAGGGGACTCAAGGACCCTGGGTCCCCTCAAAGACTGTTGCTATGGTTACCTGCAGGTTGACACACCTGGAGCTCTGATCTCAAAGTGTTGGCAGGTCTGTGGATCCGACCAATCAGAGCCCAGTATCCTCTGTCTCTCTCTCTCTCTCTCCCTCTTAGACCCTCACGGCCTCTGACCTCGGTTGTCCTGCCTCATCGTAAACTGTCACCGCGGCGACCGGGTTGTTGCTAGCAACTATTTCCTGTGGAAGGGGGCGGGGCTACAGAGGTTCACATCGTTCGGAGGATAGGTGTGTGTGTATGTGTGTGTTTAATGACCCCCCGTCGTCTTTGTCCCAGTCAGACAAAACTCCGCCCCCCATTCAGCCTCTGACGTCATCAACCACACACATAAAACACACACACACACACACACACACACACACACACACACACACACACACACACGCACACATGCAGTAAGAATGGCTCATCAATCACCTCATTAGAGAGAACGAGGTCACTGATCACAAAACCAATGTGTGTGACTGTGTGTGTGTGTGTGTGTTTGTTGTGACGCACACAAATTCCTGCCCCCCCACAGCGAAACACACGTGTCCTCACAAACCACGTTAAACCAGAAAACATGTTTCCAGGAGTCCTTGAAAAGATGCCAAAAGGGGAATGAAGACACTGGAATGATCCTTGAGGAAGTTCCACAGGGCCTTGAAGAATTCCCAAGGGTCCTTGGTAAGATTCTTATGATCCTACAAAATATTTAATGGGTCTTTAAAGAGACTGAGGAGGTTTTAAGGTCCTTGTACGAGTCCCACAGGTACCTGAGGCGGTTTGGTCCTCACAAACCAGGTAAACGAACCTTTTTATAGATGAGTTCAGACCCAGTATGATCTCAGAGGTGAAAAGTTTGGAAATTATTATAAACTATATGGACTCAAAGTATCCTACAATGCATTCATGTCACTAAATGAAAATAAAACAAAATGTGTGGTGTTGGGTGGTATCAGGGCAAACTGTGAACTGAATTATAGTGGTTTGGTATAAATGGCTGACATTGTTTGGGACTATTTTCAGCAGGCGGATTAATCCACATTTGGTGCCCTGGTGAGTTTTAGTGTGTGGGTTTGGGTGTGTATGTTCGTGGTGATGGAGATATATCAGGCTAAGCGGCAGAGACAGTGATGAAGAAGAAGATGAAGAAGATGATGATGCTGATGATATTATTATCATTGGTTTGGTTTAAACAGGTTGTGTTTCGCTGCTTCAGTAAAACTCATCACGGCTGCTGCTCCTCTCCAGGCAACAGGCTGCCCTCACTCCAAACTGCTTCAACCAATCAGCATTGACGTCACAGCCGAGTGTGTGTGTGTGTGTGTGTGTGTGTGTGTGTGTGTGTGTACGTGAATGATGGCCTCAAGTGGAGTGTGAGAAATCTTGTTTTATGTCACTGCCCCACAAACTAAAATTAGAGCACCATCCAGTTTCTGTTACTTAAATATTTTGGGAGACTTTATTGAGTTTTAATACGTTTCTCAGTGTGTTGCATTCAGGTGCTGGTGAAAAGCTCCGATAGGAAACTTTTGAGTGTGTTTGTAACTAAACGTTATTCATGTTTGAGGCTAATTATATCAGTAAATGTGACTGTCAGTGTAACTAACCTGATGTACAACATATTACACATCTGCTCAGACGTTATTCTGACATTTACTCCACCATATTAATGAATATTTAACACTAACAAACTGAAACGGAAAATTAGATCAATAAAAAAAGGTCTGTGACAATCTGCATTCTGGTTATTGTTATATTTCTGTTTTTCTATATTAGTCTAAAAACCTGCAGAGCCGTAGAGCCGCCGTTTTAAGTGTGCAAATGCAAGCGTGACCAGCGCCCCAGTTTTACACTGTACGAATTGAGGTTGCTACATATATATTTTTTATATCATTGTTGTAAAAATAACATTTTGAGTTTGCAACTGCCTGTTTAAAGTGGAAGTAGAAAACATTTCCACTAGCTAGCATACTAGCTCGCTAGCTATAAAGCTAGCAAAGCTTGTGAGCGAGCATCACTAGCTTCATAGCTAGCAGCGTTGCCAGGTGTACGATAATTATCGTATTTGTACGATAATTTGGTCCTCTATACGATGTACGATCAATAATCCCAAAAAAGGCCAAATTTACGATAATTTGACCATTTCATGAATGTGTGGTTGTAATCAGTATGCCAGAGTTTTTTTGTGAGCCCTGAAGGCATCTGTTACCATGTGACATGTTTCCAGCCAATGGCACTTTGCTTAGCGTGAGATACGGGTGACGTTTGTCTCTGAACAATGAGCACGATTGGCTGAATGGTCAGCTGTACCCGCCCCATGAGGCGCTGGGACCTGTCAGGAAGTCGAGCGAGAATGAGATTCAAAACAGAAGAAGAAGAAGAAGAAGAAGAAGAAGAAGAGGAAAAACAGAAGCAAGGAAAATGGAAAAAAGTAAACACTAGAGTGACTGTATTTGCCTATAACGCATCAGTAGGATTGTTATTTTGGTTATGAGGGATGCACGATAATTTCCCTCAAAATACGATAATTTTGAGTCTCTGGTACGATAATCCTACATTTCCCACCTGGCAAAGCTGATAGCTAGTGAACAATGCTAGCTAACACTGTCTGCTCATCAGGTCTTTGATCATGGAGCATTACAGAATACAGCAACGTTCCCCAGAGTTCATTTAAGGAGGACTACTCCAAGGACCTGCATTTTCTCGAAACTACAAGCTAGAAACTTTTTTGGCCTATGTGCCAGGCGAGCAGTTCCATTTGAATAAATAGGCGCCGTCTTGCCATCCAGTATCTAGTTATTATACACCAGTGCCCCTTCTGGACTACTGCCAATATGCTTATATGCTACTATGGGTAGCACTATAATAACTACTGCTGCTGACATCACTGCATGTGCTGCTATCAGGGCTAGCATTGTGAACAATGCTAATAATGCTAATACTGATATTACTGCTAAAACTGTTCTGACTACTACTGATAAACTACAACAGATTTACAGTTTTACAGCTCACACTTCTTAAACTAATGGTAATGGTAAATTGTAAATGGACCTGTATTTGTATAGCACTACTGAAGGCGCTTTTTACACTACGAGTCACATTCACACACACTTTAATACACTGGTGGCCGAGACTACCAGACAAAGTGCCACACTGCTACTCAGTCTTTAACACACTCACACACCCATGGAAGCATCATCGGGAGAAATTTGGGGTTCAGTATCTTGCTCAAGGATACTTTGACGTACAGACTGGAGGAGCTGGGGGTCGAACCACTCTACCTTTGAGCCACAGCTGCTCTGGACGTGTGTCCTTTGTTCAGCTTATCAAACAGACGATGGATCACGGATGTGTTTCCGGCTGCCAGCGTTAGCTATCTTTAAAGTTGACAAGCCAACCCACTTGTCATTTTTTCCGCAGGGTTTCTGTCCCTGTCCTCAGGGCGGGGGGACATGACCCCCCGCACCATTCATTCTAACAGTAACCCTCGACAAAGTATCAACAAGCGGCAACATATTAATCAACATTTTAAAGTGGAAACATACTTTTCAAACTTTTCAGCTAACTTACCTAGCATGCTAGCCACACTAACTATCACTGGCAGCCAT